ACACTTCATGGTTGACATCACAAAACTTAAGTAAACATCGAACTTCTCTAAGGTTGGTCATCCCGCTACTCACATACATACATATATAACGGAGTAAGTTAAAATCCAATGAATAGCATCAGAGTAAAGAGGTTACATGAATGAGTTCTATTACATAAACATAATCGTTTCCATATCATATACAATTCTTTTAACGGAACAACATTTGGCCCAACACATAGCAGAATGACCTCGGCTCCAATGTATAACAAATATACAGAGCAAAACAAATCATAACATAACAGAACGACCTTGGGTCCAATTCATTACAATTGTATAATGACTATTTGGTCAACATATATCGGATAATCAAATGATCAGATAATTAGAATGAACTTGGGTCCATCTTATCAGATATATAGAACGACCTTGGGTCCATCTTATACATGCGTACTTAATCCAATCAATTAACAGATATCATGTTGATTAAACAAATAAAAGCTCATTTATACTTGCAAAATCATAAATTCGGAAAAGCTTACCACATTAAAACATTCCGGAAATAAAATATAAGAAAATATCTTTACTAAGAAATTACTCTCAGCGATTAAGTGGTTGTCACGTCTCTGTGGATCAACCTACATATCACTTAAACATGTATACACATTCAAGCTCGTTGCTTAATCAAATCAATATTAACTTATTCAATTCTCTTATGTCAAGTTCTTACTTATTATTTCATTCGTGATACCTAATAATGCTCAGAAAAGAGTAAGAATGATGATATGAATAGAATATGAGTTTTTAAAATATGCTAAAACATGACACTTCACTCAAGCGCACGAATGGTTGCTCGAGCGGACCACATGGTCTGCAAAAGTACTAAATGGTACAAATCTAGGCTCGATGGTTGCTCGAGCCAATGTGCAAAATAAACTAAGGTTGCTCAAGCCATGTGCAATGTTTTGCAAAAAAAAAACTGGAAGCCCTCATTGTGCGCTTGAGCAGTGACTTAATCGCTCAATCGATGGGGCCGAATTTTAGGTTTTTAAAACAAAGTTTTGAATTTCAAACTTTGAGTTCCAAATGTAAAGTCTTGCATGATGCATACCAAACCATGAAAACACTTACAAAACATGATAAAGCCAATTCCAAACTTATAGCTCAAAAACTTCATGATTTTGCAAAATTGAAGCTTAAAACTTCATGCATGTATAAAATTTGCTCAAATTCTTCTTCTACAACTTCAAAACATGAAATTGCGCTTCAAAACAACATAATTCATGGATGCATGTATGATTCAAGTCTCAATTCAAGTATAGGTAACAAAATCATGCTCAAATTGATGATTCTTCACACAATTATGCATGCTTGTATGCTCTAGCTCTCAATTCATCAATTTAAGCTCAATTCTTATGTTTAAGTTCATTATGTTTTTGAATTCACATACTTGGTGACTTTAATTCATAAATTAAGAGTTAAACACTTATCTAGAGTAAGCTCAACTTAGCAAGAACTTGAGTTCCTCTACACAATTCTTCAATCCCTTAGTAAAATCTCCAAGTTTCTTGCCTCTGTGTGTGTGGTGTGTGTGTGTGTGTGTGTGTGTGTGTGTGTGTGTGTGTAAGATGTTTTCACTCTCTCTCTAGAATGTAACTCAGTAGAATTTTAAGCTCTCATGAGTGATTAGCTTCAACATAACACACACACACACACATATATATATGGCAATTTGCTTTGACTAGTTAAGCAAGCTTAACGTTTACTAATCTCACTTAGTTCTAATTGATTTTATCTAATGAATTTAATCTGAATCGAATTTTAATCAAACTTCTTTATAGGTCCTAAAAATCATTTTATCCTAATTAAACTTGTCAATTTTGGTTTATGAAGTCATTAAGGCCTTCAATTTTAAATTTAAAAGCAGAATTCACAACAGATAATTCACCAATGAACAGATATGCATACAAATACAAATCAAGCACATAATTAACACTCAGAATTAAATATATAAAAGCATATTATGTGATCGTGTTGTCACAGTCTTTCCCCCTTAAGAAGTTTGGTACTCCAAACTTGCGTTACATTGTGTCGGAAATAACTCGAGATACCTTTGCCTCATTTCATCATCTCTTTCCCACGTAGCTTCCTTGTTATAATGTTCCTTCCATTCTACCCTAACTATAGGAATTTATCTATTCTTCAATTACTTCACTTGCTGGTTAATGATTTGGATCGATTTCTCTTCATATTTCATATTATCGTCGAGCGCTATTCGGTGATAATCAATGGCATGGAATGGATCTCAAAGATATCCCCTTAACATTGACACATAAAACACATTGTGCATTTGATCCATTCTCGATGGTAAAGCAATTTGGTACGTAACTAGACCGAGACTTTCCAAAGTCTAAAATGACCCAATATGCCAAGGTGATAATTCGTCTTTCTTGCCAAGTCTCTATTAACCCTTCATCGGAATTACCCTAATGAATACATGATCACCGACATCATATTCAAGAGCCCTTCTTTTTTGATCCACATAACTCTTTTGTCAGCTTTGCATAGTTTTGAGCCTCTGTTGAATGATCTTGATTTTCTCAGTGGTTGTTTACTCAATCTCAAGACCAAGTAAGACTCTGTCTCCAACTTCTATCCAACAAACCGAAGATCTACATTTCTTACCGTACAAGGCTTCATACGATGCCATGCCAATGCTAGAGTGGAAACTATTGTTGTAAACGAATTCCACCAATGGCAAATAGGTTTCTCAACTTCTATGAAAGTCTAGAACACACATCCAAAGCATGTCTTTCAAGGTTTGAATAGTTCTTTCAAACTGTCTATCAGTTTGAATATAAAAAACGGTACTAATCCTCAATTTTGTCCCCATTGGTCTTTGAAGGCTTTTTCAAAATCTAGACACAAATTTTGAATCCCTATCTAAAATAATAAAATACCAAAACCCCATACAAACGAACAATCTCATCGACATAAATGGTGGCAAGTCTATAAGCATCACAGATAGTTTTTACAAGTAAAGAATGTGCAGATTTAGTTAACTTATCCACAATAACCCAAATAAAGTTCATACCTCTAAGTGTTCGAGGTAGCCAGCGATAAAATCCATGGTTATATGCTCGCATTTCCATTTTGGAATAGGGAGAGATTGAGGTAATCCTGTCGATTTCTCATGTTCAACTAACATTGAAGGGATCTGGATATAAATTCTGCAATTTTCTTTTTCATGTTAAGCCACCAATAACCTTGCTTCAAATCTCGATACATTTTATTGTTGCCTTGTTGCATTGCAAACTTTGATTTGTGAACCTCTTCTAAGATTATTTTCTTCAAATTAGAAATATTTGGAACACATAATCTTACCTAAAATTTTAACACTTGGTTCTTGACATGGAACCCCAGTCTTGGATTCGATCCCATCTTATCACATACGTACCTTCTTAAGGAATTCATCCTCCCTTTGTTTTTGCTTTGTCTCATCAATAATTGCTAGTTGAGCTGAAATAGCGGCTAACATTTCGCCTTGTTCATGAAATATCACTTCAATCTCAGATCTATCCAAGTCTTTCAATAATTCTCTCTGTTCAGTAAGCAAACACGCCAAGTTCCCCGTTGACTTCCTACTAAGAGCATCGGCTACAGTATTGGCTTTGCCTAGATGATGCTGGGTCTGGAGATCGTACTCTTTAATCAATTCTAACCATCTCCTCTGTCGCATGTTCAACTCCTTTTGTGTAAAAAAGTACTTCAAACTTTTGTGGTCAGTGTAAACTTCACATGTAGCCCCATAGAGGTAGTGGTGCCAAACTTTCAAAGCAAACACAACGGTGACAAACTCCAAGTCATGAGTCTGGTAGTTCTTTTCATGAGGCTTCAATTGCCAAGATGCATAAGCTATCACTTTACCGTTTTGTATCAAAACACAACCCAAACCCTTCTATGAAGCATTACTATAAATAACAAAGCTTTTTATACCTGACAGTAATGTCAAAACCGGTGCTATAGTTAGCCTCATTTTTGGTTCTTGAAATGCAGACTCCCGCTCATCAGTCCAGTCAAATGGTTCTCCCTTTCGAGTAAGTTGAGTAAGTGGTACAACTATCTTTGAGAAGGCTTTCACAAGCTTTCTGTAATACCCAGCCAACCTTATAAAGCTGTTGACTTCTGTCACATTTGTTGGTGCGAGCCAATTCACAATTGCCTCAATCTTTTGTGGGTCTACTAAAATCCCAATCCTGTTAATCACATGCCCTAGAAACACAACTTCATCTAACTAGAATTCACATTTTTTAAATTTTGCATACAATTTCTTTTCCCTCTATGTTTATAGAATGGTTCTCAAATGTTGTTCATGTGCTTCTCTACTTTTCAAGTAAATCAAAATATCATAAATAAACACAACTACAAACTTATCAAGATAAGATTTGAAAATTCGGTTCATAAGATCCATAAAAGCTACGGGTCCATTCGTTACTCCAAACAACATAACTAAAAACTTATAGTGTCCATACCTCGTTCGAAATGCAATTTTCTCGATATCCTCAACTTTCACTTTCAATTGATGGTACCCAAATCTCAAATCTATCTTACGTGATGAAGTTGTCATAATTTTGGAAAAGTATTCACAAAATTTTGATTTTAGAATAGGCGTTCAATTTTATTATTATTTTTTTTTAAGTCCTTAACTTTATATTTATTGTTTTGGTCTTGTTTTGTTTTCTTTTGTTAAAATAAAAAATAAAAAAAAATAAAAAAGTGAAGCTAAGGGGTTGGTTGTATGTTTACGAGTAGTAGTAGTAGTATGGATATTTTATACTGTCCGAATCTCTCTCGATACATTGCATCTTCATGTACCTGTAATTTCATGTTTTTAATAAAATTTTCACTTTGCTAATCAATATATATATAATTGAATAAGTCCTAAAATAATTAAAGAGATTCATTTAGCTAACTGTTGGAGATGCCGTAAGCTCAATGAATGGATCCATCCATGCATTAAAATCAAGAACTCCAAAAAAAAAGTAACAAATAAATAAAAATTTTAAAAAAAAGAAAGAAAAGAAAAGCAAATTGTGCAAGGACTAGGTACTTGACATCCTTTCTCTTAGGAAACTAAACTAGGCATTATTAAAAACTACTTAGAAAATGATTGCGGAATTAAATGTTCTTCAAATTTTCTAAATTTGCATCTTCCAATTATGTGTTTTCACTTGCCTCCCACCTCTCCACTTGCTTTGTTAGATTTGCTTTCCTCTCAAGAAAAGATTGAAGGGTTGTAGGATCATGAGGTGGAGGCATGGTGCATGGGCTTGTATCCGTTGGACCTCTCACCATGGAATTCATCTTAAACATCTTCTCCAACTCTGGTCCAGAACATGCCATTGTCTCTAAGCACACTTCAACTGATCCTTCTGGTACAGTTGGTTTGTATTTCAGAAGCTTTCCATATTCATATAGCAAATGAAACATATAGTCATATACACTCTTCATTTTTAGCTCCTCTTGGATGAACTTGCTCCCAGCCTTTCCAATCTCTTGAACCTAAGTCACAATGGAGTTGGTAAAAAAATAAGTTAATGAGTAGACAAAAAAAAGAAAAAATCATGTAAAAATTCCATAGCATTCGTATACTTGTATAGAGACACACATTACAACATTTTTTTTCAACAGAAGGAAAGCAGAAATCCTATAAACTAAGAAAAAATATGCAAAAAATTATTGAGAATTTGAATGTGTAGTATAAAGTTATACTTGGGTGTAATGTGGGTCATATTCAGGTGAATTTATTCCACACATTTCAAATATAATATTGTTGAAAGAAAATAATATTTGTAGTCTATTAACAAGAAAATAGCTACACACATTATAATTTAGACATTAATCGATTGCATCACATTATAAGAACATCATGACATTACAAAGTAAGGGAGGAGACTTGAACCGCTAACTTCTCTTAATAGAATGTTGGAGTGATGCCTTCAAGTGCAAAGGCCATTAACACAAAGCGATTGCATGTTCAAACTAGTGAAAATCTAATTAAAATTTATCATGGTTGGTTTTTAACAACTTTAATACGTGGCAACTTGATATGTTGCCACCTGCAAGTAAGGTGGGTTTTATGTAGTTTTTCACAAATACCGCATTAGCAGTTTGCTCATCTAATAGTAAGAGATTATATATATATTTTTTTTTAATCAGCAAAGAAAATGAATTTTATTGATGAAATAGAAAACTATTACATCAAAAAAAAGAATGAGAATGAGTGCAAAAAGCATCATAGCGAACCAAATCAATCCCAACTAGGTTGACACCAATAAAATCGCCCAATCATATGCTAGCACAACATCAGAAGTTGGTGAGGAACCAATCACAAACACCTCAATCAACCTCACCCCAGTACAATCTAACCAAACCAAATACTATCCGAACAACCAAAAACTTACAAACCATCAAGCAACACTCCATTTCACCCAGACCGGCAGCACACCTCACAGATCAGCAGAGAGAGAATATATTTACATGATTTTTAAAATAAAATAAAAGAAGAATAATATAAGAAAATCATAAAATACTATTGATTGGATATACAACCATATGGTGTTCTAAAAGACTAGATAAATTTATTATGTTGCAACTATAACCCATATAGCAAAAATGAAATAAACGGCAAATAAAATATTATTAGGCCCGACACTTTACATTGTTTTTAAGCCCAATGAACTAATTTGCAATAAATATTTTCAGCTAATAATTGTGAATGTTGTATTATAGAGAAATTTGATTACCTTTTCTGGGTGTTTATTTCCCCAGTTAACTGCAGACTTGATAGATCTGCACTTGTCATTCTCTTTTATTGGCCAGTAGTGAATTGAGGGTAATAAACTTCTTGTGAAGAAATCATAGTAATGGGGTGTTACTAGCAGACTCATAGAATCACATGCTAGAATATATTTCTCACTCACAGACCATGCTCTTCCCTCAACATAAATCTTGTATCTGCATGAAATTTGTAAAACGAAATGAGATTAATAATGAAAATGAATGTAATGAAACATTTGGTAGTGGGGACAGAACCATGATTTTATTCATAGGAGCCAAACCTTTTGTACAAAAAACTTAGACTGCAACATGGACTATATTTACATTTTTCATACCCAAATTTGCAATAAATTAAATTATCTTAGACAAAAAAAATTGTTGTAAACAAAGGTACTAATAAACAAAACAAAAGAAATAGAATTTTTTTTTTTTAATACGAAGATAGTTCGCCATCAAAGGAAATTCATCAATGATATTTCGCCACCAAATATCTTTGTAGCATCAAAAACATTAATGTTGTGTTTGGTTGGAGGATTTAGGAAGGGATTTGGAAAGAGAAAGGGAAAAGATGTGTGAAACTATGTGAAATTTAGGCATATTTTACTCTCATTTTACCTATATTTTCTGTTTTTCTTTCTAAATCTTTTCTCAAATCCCCCAACCAAACACAGCATAAGTGACTCACAATGAATAAGCTATTTAAAAATGAGTTAAAATAACTATTGCAATGAACTAACACTTATGAATGCATGGGTCAAATGAACTCTGCTATGGCCAAGCTATAGCCAGGGGCGGAGATAGAGAGGAGCAGCGGGTCGCGTGTCCTTGGGTTTTGGGTTTCTTTTTTTTTTTTTTTGTTTTGTTTTGTTTTTATTTTATTTTTTTACCAAATATAAAGAAAATATTTTTAAAAAAAATTATAAAAATATTAATTAGAGTGAAATGTCAATGACATTTTTAAAATTATGAGAACAATAATGGTTGTTTTGATTAAAATTAAAAGATTACGATAAGTCATATTAATATTTATGAAAAATTTATAATTTTTTTTAATGTAATGGTGATGTCTATTATTATTAGCATGCAAGCATAATTAATCTTACTATGAAGATATATAATTTATCAAATTATTAGTTACATTTGATATATGAAATTCATTGTCCATATGTTTCTTTATTATTAGTTGATGATATCACATGTCAATGATGACATAGTATTAGCATTATATTGAATTTTTACTCAAATTTTGTATAAAAAAATTACTTTATCATTATATAATTTATTTTAGAACTTATATTCATAACTTTTTTTGGTATTGTCCATAATACATTAGTTACAAATAACATCATTTTTTTTTTATCTTTCTCAAAGTCAATCGTAAAAATTTATGTGAAATATTTTTGTAAAAAATTTCAATATTATAATTAATAAGTGCCCCATCTGATTTAATTTCCTGATTTCACCACTGGCTATAGCCAAGCCAAGCCAAGCAAAAAACCTAAAAAAATTAAAGATAGTGATGTGCAATTAGGATTTAATTTTAGCAATGAATAACAAATCTCAATCGAACAATTATAGATCTAATCCAATTAAATAAGAATTGAATTATATTTATAAACAAAACAATGACAAATCGATATAACGATATAATGTGAAAAAAAACACATATGGAGCGTCTCCAATTGTGATAAAAAATCACGGGTCAAAGTCACAAAACAATCTACTGAGAAGACAAAGGAATTACACGCGAAAACCCTTAATTACCTAGCAAATTTACACTCCAATTGAACTGAACTCGATATGCCTCTTCCATCATCGTCTTCACCCTTGAATTGTTGTGCCCAACGTTGAATCCACAATGTCGATGTCGAATCCAAGACGATGAGCCACTTCAAAATTCACCAAAACTTTAGGCTCAAATTCCCTATAATCCACCAATGAACACCTCTCTTTTGAATCGAAATTAAACGAAAGAAATCCCTTGATGAATGTCAATATGAAATTTGTTAATCCATCGATCACCCTTAAATCATTAAGGTAAACAATATATATATATACACTCTCCAATACAGAACACTTATGCTTATATCCTCTCTAAGAATTCTAGAAGGGTTCAACTCTAAAACAAGCAAACGAGAACTTTATAAAAAAATAGGGCCACGAAGATCGCTCGAGAGCAAAAATGACTGTTTAAGCGGTGAAACTAGTAAAGCGGTGCAAACAATCTTCCACCCGTCACTTCGCTAGAGTGCAAGACTTACTGCTCACACAGAAAAACACAACTCTCAGTATCTCTGAAATTATACTGAGATAATAGATAAACCAAACCAATTTTCAAGCGCACACTTGACCACTCAAGCGATTCAAAAAGTTTGACAGGCTCAATAATTCCTCTACTCAAACACACATTTCCTTCAACACAAACTCCTCTACTCAAGTACAAATTAGGTTGGATTCGCATCTAAACTCTCACAAACTTACAGATACAAAAGACGAAATGCAATTACATTTGAATGGAGTTTTGTCAAACAGGATTGTCAATTACAAAATACCTAGCACCAAGCTATAGCTCCGTGTGGTGAAAAGGATTTGGAAATACTCTCTTTGATCAGGCTAGATCTTCTTGATCCTTGAGACGCTACTTGAAATAGGAACAAACGCTCAAGTCGGGTGTTCTGAAATTAGTACTCCGACAAACAAGTTAGTCTTTTCTTGATTTTACTTTACTCACAAGTTATCTGCTATTTTTCACATACCTCTCTTTGATCAAGGCTCCTCCTTTTATATTGTTCTCCAGGGCCCATTTCTTCCTTTCAAACATCCTGACTTCATAATTGGGCCCCCATATGACCCATGAGATATTTGGCTAAGTCGGTCCTTCAACTTGGTTCTATTTGACTTGTCTATGGCCTTGTTCCCATCGACTATGGCCTACTTGCCACGTGGGCTTCTGGTTTGGGTCGACTTGTCTACGACCCTAATCTCATCGGTTACGGCCTACTTGCTAAGTGGACTTTTGGTTTGGGCCAACTTGTCAATGGCCCTGTTCCCAAATGGGCTTGTTTTTAGGTCTCAATGTCATATATTTATTTGGTCCCCACAATTCCCCCCTTCCCCCCCGAGCATCTGACTAAACTCCTTTCAGTCGGCATGTTCAGTTATTAATAATGTATACCATTTGGCCTACAAATGGAAAACTGTCTCAAAAGTCAGAAATACGGAGCATGTACTCCTTCCAGTACTGATTCGTTAAAAGAAACGTGATACAAAATCATTACAACTTCTCACCCATTCGTAGTTGACACTCGTTTAATGCGATTTGAAAATGCGTTGTCCCTTCGTGTTTTTTGAATTGAAAAGCTCTCGGTTCTTGTCTTTGGTATTCCTCACATCAATCTTCCTCATTCAAGACTTCTGTAATTTTGACTCTGCTCTCCACCGTTCTTCTCTCACTCCAACCTGTAAGTCCATCTCTCTTCTTCTCTTGCTATCCCATTCCAGTCCCCTTTGCTTGTGTTTTTTATTAGTATTTTTCTATTCCGTCTTAAATGGCGAAAGCTCTCCTCTCTGAGGATCGAATTGCCGCATTCCATCGTCATTTTTCAATCCCAGACGATGTCTATTTGTCCCTCGTCTCAGACAATGTGGTTAACATGGAGAGGTCTGACGTGAACACAGTCATCTTTTCTCTTCTGTAAATCGCTGAGCGCGGAGTCCACTTCCCCACTCATCCTCTTTTGAGGGTCATTCTACGCTATTAGGGTTTAATCCCCTCCCAACCCAACGTGAACTTTTACCAGATAATAATGGACATAGTAGAATTAAACAGCTGACTTCAGCTTAACTTAGGAATTTCTGCTATTCGGCATTACTATGTTTTGGCAAAATAATCAGGTCAGCAGGGCCATTACTTTCTGAGAGCCAAGGACACATATCACCAATTGGTGACTATGCTTGCATGCTCTGGCAAGAGAGTTGACGACGTCATGGTTGTCATCCAAGGCAATTAGGAATTCGGCAACGAAAAGATCGCCTAGACCTAGTGCCTAGACAGAAAGGCAAACCAGGTGGCCATATAGACTTGTTGCTTATTTATTTATTTATTCAGCTTAAATTTCGTGCACTGATCTTTCTGTTTGTGCAAGAAACGATCTCAAAAGAGCCCTCACTTCAGCTAACGAAACTGTGCTTGCCTAAGTGAAGATTATTCCTGAATACTTTGGCCGCCCAAATCTTCAAAAACAAGGGCACGCCGCCCATGTGCTATTGAAGTACAACTCAACATACTCCACATTTTCGGCTGCTGACCACATCCCAATTCCAAAAGGTGAACAGCATCTCACAGCTCGTATTTTCCCAAGCTACAAAAGCTTAAAAGATATTGGTCTTGAGGGTTCAGACCAAGGTGGTGAAGTCGGCAACCAAGATGTTAAGCAGCCAAATCAGTCCAACGCAACCAGATCAGAGGGCCGTTTGGAGGAGGAAAATGAGGAACTTAATAAGGCAATTGACTTGGCCTTTAAGCAAGTTGGCCTTGACGATTATACTGGCCATCCATTCACTTCGGGCCAAATAGATTTAACTTCCCTAGAGGATGACATCTTTACCGATTTGGTTCTGAGGATATGGCCAGAGAATCCCTAGCTTAATTTGCCAGAAAAAGAAATGCCGAAAGGATGGAGGCAACAAAGGGAGATAATAATGCTGGGAGCCAAGAAAATCCCCTTTCAACAATTGTTCTCGAGGAAATAGCTCGAGAGATTGTTGTGGCCGAATCGATCCCTAAACAGCAAACAGAGGCTTCAGACACCAAACAAAGAGGGAAGAAACGCGCCGTCAAGACCATTGCCAAGTCATTTGAGGAACCAATCGATAAACAACCCAGGGTTGTAGAGCCTTCGCCTAACCTCACTACAAAAATTAAGGTTTTAGAGACTAAAATTTAAGGCCAAAATTATTTTTTACGGACCAAATAACTTTGTTGCGAAAAGTGTCGTTATTATATTTTTAACAACAAAAATTGTACATTAGTAATGAATTATTATCCTTTTGGGACAAAATTTTTTTTCTAAAAAAATAAACCATTTTGAGACCAAATTATTTTGTCCCTAAAAGTCTATTTATTAGTGACATTTTCAAAATTTTGTCGCTAAATGCCTTGTTTTTGACTTTTCAGG